TTTTATTCTATGGCCGCATAACTAGAAAACAAGGCTCCCTACTGCTCAGGTAATTGAGGTGGAACACTTATAAGGGAGGGCAACTTTCAACGTGAGGTATGAATCAAAGCAAAATATAGAATTGTTCACAAGTTCACAAGCTATTTGATAAAAACTTACAAAATCAAAAAAGAATGGGTCATCGTTGCACAGCATGGTCATGGTTATACGCATTAGAGTGTAGAGATAAACGAATAACTCGCCGGGAATGCGCTACGCATTCGATTTCCATACAGGACAGCAGAGGCATTGGAATGTGCATCTGCCAAATGACATGCATGACCGAGGTCCAAATCTTTTGTTCTCTCCGGACGTTCTATTCTAGGCGACTTGAATGCACTTTTCTACTTGGCTCGGTTAGCAATGACTCACTTAGTCAATGACTTTCGAGCATTATAAACTTTATCCCATTCGTTTCGCGGTGCTCTTAGCCACTGCGCTAGACCCAGTCAGAAACAGATGAATGCTGTGAGCTTTCGGATTGGTGCCTATGTGGGTGAAGAATCCAGTTTTAGCATTTTGACTTGCTTTTGTTTGCTAACTTGCCCTGTGAGCAATAGGTGCGGGTTCGAGTCCCATCTGCGGCGAAAGTTTTGTGGGTGTATGTCAACAGAATCGTCCGGAGCCCCTAGCTACTGGTCGTGGTCGCGACGTTGCGACTGCAGAGGACGAGTTTCTACGAGCGTCATTTGAATTTCATGTAAAGGGACACCAAGTCGACCCATCCCTTTACCTCAGTTTCAATCAATGCGCGGGTAGTTCTAGTTCTCTCGGGTCCTTCTTTCCGCTTTTTTTCAATGTTACGATAATAAACTTTGGAAACAAACTTGTTCGTACCACTTCTTATGAAAGAGTAAAGGAAGTACGTTCCAGATTCGCTTCGATATCCGCGTTCTACATAGATTATCGTGGGCTCCAATCGTCAAATTCAAAAATTGCCGCGCCCATCGGAAAGGTGCCGCGTTGCGACATCGCCCTAGTGGCCGCGCGCGGCGACGCCACTCTCGGACGATTCAGTTGACCGCAAGTTTTTTCTCAACCCAGCATTTTTGTGAATCAGTTGTAGTAGTTCTTAACTCAAAAATAGTTTCAAAAAAGAAAATGAGAATTTACCTAACGCTTTGACAAGGGCTTTCCTGTCCGGCATTGCTCAGCTTATGCTGTGCTTCATCCGGTTGGAACCACTTGCCAGTTTTCGCCAGAATTTGCTGTCGTTTCTGACACAATGAACACGCCCATATGGCCTGAATTTAATTCATGATTTTCATCGATGGTAATCTCGTGTACTATTTTTTCTCTGTCACAACTCTTTTCCCAAAGCTGCCATGTTCCCTATCCATTTTCCAGTTGGATAATGCTTCAAATAAAGGAAAACGTCATGCTGATTGAACGACAAGTACATAGCTACAAAATGAGAAAAAAGTATGAAAGTACTAAAACAGAGAAACAGGTCGATTGAGAGAGTGACAGACGAGCAGGCAGAAAAATTTACGAAACGGAGAGGGAGAGGGGAAGATAAGGAAAAGACAAGCAAAGATGAGTAGGTATACAGTCAGATACCGAGAGTTAGATTTCGGAAGAGAGAGACAGACAGAATTTGTTTGAATGGCAAGCATAAAGATAGAAAATAAAGCTGAATCGGCCAGATAGTCCCACATTGAGACAGAAGAAGACCAGAAGGAAGGACAAGTAGACAAACTACCAGAGACAGACCGATTGGGAAACAGACAGCGACAACAAGAATTCTAAATGACATGCAAATATAGAAAGTGGAAGGCATACAAACAAAACGCGACAACTAGAACGGAAAGGGAAAGGAAGGAGAGTAGATGAATACCGGAAAAAGTTGCTGGATAGACATACCTTGCTCTTACTCTGAGATCGGCCTCCACAACGTGCACAACTTCGCAGTTGGCAGTAGAAACATTTGTGACCTGAAGATTTATGTTTGAAATTCCATAATCGGAACAGTAAGGCAGTAGTCATGATGGAGGGCGTTGCGGTTTGATGACTTTCTCGATGGTCATTGGTGAAAGGGCGGTAAGCCCGATCAAACCTTCCATCGTGCTGAGGGGTCTAATCAACCAATGACGCCCAATGACGTAATCAAAACCGCACCGCCCTCCTGCCATCGCAATGACTGCTTTCAAAATTGCACACTGTTTTTATTACTGCTGTCTCGGCAAACTGTAAATGAAAGTACGGCGAAAAATTTTCGTGAAAAAAGAACTGCAAGGAAGTGTTTCGAGTAGTGAAAGTTCATGAGATCGATAGTTGTGGTGAAGGAGCCACTTTTTTGCGTTGATGAAAATCGTTCAAAATGCAAACTATGGCCCACTTTTGTTATTCATGAGATTCCAGAAAAACCACACATTTTCACTAACTCCATTATCCGAGATTTTAATTGCTGTGCGGAATTTTCAATTAACTCACCAATACCGTCAGCGAATTTCGTTTTCTGACATATCTGACAAATCGCATCGTCGTGTGTTCCAACAAGTCGTCGAGCGATTTCTTTTCGTTCATTTATTTGCTTTTCAATCTGATCCAATTCGGCGTCCGCTTTTCTGGAAAGGGAACGAATATCCATACATAGTCTTTTGAGGCCTCGCGCCTCCTCGTTTGACGTACAGAGTCAATGGTCTGTTCTTTCAGTTTCAGAAATTTCACAACGCCCCCTTTCCGAAGCCAGACCCCTTCGACGTCCCCAAATACGACCCCCGTTCGCACTCTTCCAAGAGATGGTCTACCTCGTTCAACCCAAATATGACCTTCTTCCCTGAAAGTGCCACACACGGTTGACCTTGCTGACATTTTCATAAAAACCCGTTTCATGGCCTGGAGATCAAATTCTGGATCGTACGCTGTCAAGCCATCCAAGCCTCCCACCCTTCCGCGTGGGCTGCACGTACCAAGCTTGTCTGAGAGGACGAAAGAAGGATGGCAAAGAAGAAGTGTACATCGCCGGCCGCCGCAAGTCACTGTATAGGTCCAACAGCATTCAAAATGCCATTACGTTTTGAATGGAAGTAAATATGTGGCGCACCCCAACTATTGATTGACGCCAAATGCTTTTCCTCTATGATGTCCTACATAACGACTGGAGGGAGGGCAACTGAAGCTCAAGTCAATACCTTCATCTCCTAGGCAAGTCTCCTACAAACTGCCCTAACACAGACGGATTCAAGGCTAACCTGACCTGGGCCAGACTCTATCTTGACTTCCGGACCATCGCGCATCCCCATTTCTGTGGAAGTGAGGGAATGAGTGCATAGAGTTTCTTGGGACACAGCGCTTCTGGGAAACCATTTCTTTGAACAACTACACACAGCTTGGTCCATTTGTGGGATTCTCAGGATCCAACGCAGGCATTGCCGTTTGATTCCCTGACCTAGTTAAGCAATTTTCTCTTCTGAAATCTATGAAACAGCTCTGCAGTAGCACTTTTTCCCATCCGCAGTCTCATATTCCATTCCGTCATCTTCTCAGTTTTCATCTAGCTCAAATGTTTGTTTTTTTCGGAACGTTCCTTGATTTCCCATTTGTTTCCCCTTTCCGTTCTGCTGCTTTTCGTTTACATACACCTTATTGAATCCATTATCGAAGAAAACCAGGAGGCATACATTTGCGGCAGAGTCCTTCTCTTCAGAACAATTCTAGACTGCGCCGATTGCAAAGTGAAGGAGAGGTGTTTATTTTACATCTACCAGCGGTCCTTCACATTCATTTTTAATAATACCTTGAAGGAAGAGATAGCGGAAGACGTTACGTTCTGATGAGCTCATCGAATCATTGGTGGAAGGGCGTTGAGAAGGGTCTCAATCACACCCCTACGTGGCAATGCGCTGAGGCATCCAGTCAACCAATGGCGTTCAATGACGTCATCAAAATCGCACCGCCCTACAGACATCGTGCATTGCCTTTAAGTCATATGTGCGCAGCTGTTACATAACAAGCTCGCACTACTGAAAGTATATGTTCATGCAGGAATTACAGGGTTCGCTACTAAGCATGCGGAAATCGCTAGAAACCGACCAATCGGTATGATGGCTCAAATAAAAAATGAGGCACTAATATGATACTTGGGTGTGACTTTCTGAGAGTACCTTGGTTTACTTATCGAAGGTGTGCATCGCGAGGTCACGACGCGACGGTAGTCGTGCCGCGTCTCAAGAAATTACGCGGCACGGCTATCATCACAATTTGAACTATTCGCTCAACACCGAGTACAGTGGATACGAAGAGGTGGCAAGATAGCGTGCACCTGGATAAGGGCAGGTAATATGAGAGAGTGAAAAGAAGTGCTGCTGAACTAATTGTCGTGTGGGTCCTGCGCGCATCACGGGTACCCGACAGGAGGCCCGTCGCGCGGCAACAAGGCAGAGTCAGCGGACGAGTCGCAGCGCGTACTGTAGTGATTTCGCGTCAAGTTAAATAGAATGTACCATTGTACGTCCTACATCGCACATCACGCGCTGCAACTCGTCCATGCGCTTCTGCCTTCTAGTCCCGCTACAAACTCTTGTCGGGTTCCCGTGCATCACGCCACCGATGCGTGAGTCGTCGCACCTTGACCTACCCAGTGATTATAGAATTATTCTAAAAAAGACACGTACTTCCTCGTTTATATTCTTCTTGCTTCATACCAAGTATCAGCCACGTCTGCATAATTTCCCATTCATGGGCGGTGTCAAACTCCTACGCAGAGCACTCACATCGGGAGGGGGTGGGGTACGCTATGATTGTTTTCGTGCCTAGACGTATAGTACACGGGAAAACTGCTACGTGAGAAAGCAGCCGGTGAAAATTCATCAAAACACGGAAATAGTATCCCATTGACCTCTACAATGGTAGCGCCCAGCTATTAAGGGTTTGAATCGTATTTCATTTCAGTGAATCTGTTTACAGCGACATCCGTGCCATTTCTAGCAGTAAATGCTCGTTTTTCAAACTGTAAGCACTACTGAAATGGTGACATTAACGGCTAAATGGACAAAGGAGTGAAATGAAAACCGTGTTTACAAGTTAGCGCCGAGTTTAGCAAACGGCTGGATTCCCTCGAACCAGGGTCAACCACCATAACGTTCGCAATTTTTCAAAATTTCGCGACCCCTCCTCTAGGAGCCTCGATGCGACCCTCCACCACCATCATGAGACTCAGGAGGCCCCCCAATACGACCGCCCTTCTCCCTATGGTATTTGATTCCGAGATCAGTCGACACAGCTCAATTCCGCACACTTTTCCCTCCAAGTCGAGCGGGGGGGGGGTTACTGTGAAACAAGAAATTTTCTCTACCTATAAACCTGAAATACCTCAAGCTGCGCCATTACATCCACATCAAATCCCTCAAAAAAAAACCAATCCATATCGCCTCGCCACGCCACAAATAACTAATTCCACTCATCCTGCTCAACCCCTGAATGCGACCCCCCTTCTCAAAACCACAAATGTGACCCCCTCGTTTGAATAGCGCGAACGCACGGTTGACCCTGCCTCGAACCAGGGTCGGTCCTATCGTTGCTACTTTTCAAAAAGTTTTTACGACCCCCCTCCCTCATGAAATGTTTCATACGACCCCCTCTTTCAAAACAATTTTTACCCCAAAAAATTACCGTCGAGCGGGGGTATATACGCGCGCTGAAACGGCAAATTTTCTCCCGCGCCGCTCCCCACTCATCACATGCAACTTCTTACAACCGAAGCAAGTACGACCCCCCCCCCTCTACAAACTCATCAAAATACGACCCCCCGTTGCTACTTGTAGCAACATAGGGTTGACCCTGCCTCGAACTCCGAATTTCGCGCAACAAACAGCGTACTCAAGGTGTTGACCACATGAGTGCATCGTATCTCTTTTGGCAGGACTTAGCGCAATCAGCTAACGAGACCACCCATCGTATGGCATTCGTGAGACATTTGCGCGCTAAGGAATAGACTGCACTTTGAGCGAAGGGCAACGCCGCCGAAACACCGAGACCGACCACGACGGCTGGCTGGCGTCGAGCCATTCCGCGGCGAGTGTATTGATCAGAGGAGGACTACGACGAGACGAGAGGAACTCCTCAGTGCCGAGTCATCACAAACGAGGCTGGCCGACCAGCTGCAGACTCGAAGAAATCCACACAGACGGCGGCTCAGTGGCTCACATCACAGACGGGAGCTTTGCCTTGAGGGGCACATCTATCAGGGAGCAATTTCAGCCATCAACGTCGAATAGACAACGAGCAGGAATGTCGAGCAGGTCTAATCACAGCGCACGGAATAATCAAGGAGCGTGCTAATCTCAAGTAGCTTCACATTATGCTGGACATTTGAATCCTGTATTACCAGTAAGTCAGAAGGAGTAAAGCACCCCCTCTCCCCACGCACCCTTACTAAACGATTTTTTTATAAGTTATATCTGATGGGTCCTTGTCTTTGGGAAACTCAGAGTTAACTGTGAGGTAAAGGTGAGCCTTCGAATTTTCTATTACCAGTAAGTCAGCAATTAAAGCTATCCCTGCATTGTTCTAGCCCTAAGAAGTACAATCCCAATCCTGAGAACTGGAATTTTATGCCGACCAAGTGTGTGAGCGGCAAAAATTAGCTATCAAAAAGCGTTCGTCTGCGAAATTCTCGTTAATACTTGGCTAAAAGTCCCGCTTAGGCCTCAATTAGCTGGCTTAGCGCCCTCGAAACACGCAGGCAGAGCTGGCGTTGAAAGCCGCAATCCAAGCTGGGGTTGTTTGGCTTCCCACTGCTTCTACAAAACCTCAAAGTGTTTATGATATGCGATTTATTTGGCGAGATGAATGAGTAAGGGGATTAGCTGGGTGTTATTCGCTCTCCAGCTAATGCAGTTACGCCTCCAGAATTCTTGCTGGCGCTATCATTACTTTTGTGGGACATGATCCAAGGCTCGTGCTCAGAAGAAGTGAAACGGCTGTGTGACAATATGAGAGGTACAGGATGCTTACTGCGCTCCGCGCCCTATCGTTATGAAAGGCATAGTCCGTGATTAGATCATTAGAAGTCCGTTTTTAGATTATCAGAGCGATTCTCTTCGTAAGTAAGGTGGCAGTCTCTCGAGACCAAAATTGTAGCCCCGTTGAAACTGTACGACAACGGCGCTAATCCCTTGCTTTGAGTGCTGCGGCCGCTGCCGTTACTCGTTCACACGTCGTAACTGCGCTCTCTTGTGAGACGTACTCTCTCGCGTATCCCTCTCTTAGCCGCGCTGTGTGCCTCGGACGTACCACGAATGATCTCACACGAAGTCAAGCGGTGAAATCAGTGTCCTTTATGGTTCCTTTTGTTTTTCTTCCTCATTTCATCCCCTCTCACTGTCGTTTCATTTTTGAGCGAAATAACCATAAATTTTTATCGTGGGCTACACCGTTGACATTCAGAGAGCCTTACGATCGAGGCTCTACAAAGTACAAGCAAGAATGGCTTCCTCATGGAGGCTTAAAAACTAAATTATGGTACACACCCTCATAAGGCCTAATCAGGCAATGCGAAAGGTGAATGGGAAACCCTTGGAAACTCCATTTCACAGTTCATGGCAGTTATATGGACAAAGGTAGAGTAGAGGTTAAGCAGCGCCGAGA